CATTTCAGAGAACAATATCCTGATGTCCACTCCTTCTCGCAAAACAGATTCTTGTTTAAAATGCTGACCAAGTTGGACAACATAGAGATTTAAAATAAATGCTCCCATAAAATTTGAAAATTTGAAATCTTAAGTGTGAAGATTTGAAAATTAATCGATATAAATCTATACGTATATATACAAATATCTGTATGCACCTACAAATAGAAATTTACAGATATATATATACACACCCACACAGACATTGATGGAAAGGGAATCAAGAAATACCAGTATAAACATCTGAAAGAAAAGGGCATGGAGTGGTCCTAGGATGTCTTTATTCTATCTCATTTCCACTCCCTGCCAAACCCCTGATAATTTAAACTAAATAGCTAATCAAATGAGATCAAACGGATAATGCCACCCCTGTTGAGAGTTCTGCAGCAAAACTGTATTAGTCAGCTTTATCCCCTTTGGAAAGGAAAGGTCCATCTCCTGTGGAATATATGCTGGCACTTAGGTTGCCATGCTAACAGCTCCTCCAACAGTGGGACAATTGCTTTCCTAAGATCAAAAGGAAAGCTGAATTTACTGTATAAAATGCAGTAAATGTACATATCAGAGATTTAAGAATAAAGCACAGGATTGCTTCGTAGAAAACATTGGAGCCAACCACTTCACTCATGATGGAACGGGCTTTGCATGTTTCTTCTTATTTAAACCTCAACAAACCTGCTAATGAGAACCTCCTGCTCATTCACAGTGGTAGTGCTGCTAACAGTGTATGAACTCCATCCTCCTCTGCAGTTGCTACACAAACTCCATCTAGGGCCAATTCAGGAAAGACCTTTTCTATACATAGCACAGAGAGAATCATAGAATCATAGAATCATAGGATCATTTAGGTTGGAAAAGACCTTTAAGATCATCTAGTCCAACCATTAACCTAACACTACCAAGTCCACCACTAAACCAATTAAGGGTAGAGAAGTAATTTCATGTTTCCTGGCTTGGTGGCTGGATTATTTTTTAATGAAACTAAAAACTAGGAATCATTAAGGTTGGAAAGGATCTCTAAGATTAACAGTCCAACCATCAACCCAACACCACCATGCCCACTAAACCATGTCCCAAAGTGCCACGTCTACCTGGTTTTTGAACCATTAAAGCCATTGAAGATTTGAACTGTTGAAGAGGACCATCACCCAGGTTCACACAGTTCATTTGCAATGCAGAAACCATATGACCAAAGGAGAGTTTCCCCTCTGATATGCATTACAGAACACACCACAACTTTGTTATCAGCTTTGTTATCACCTTGCTCATTCCCTTAGTTTATTTAAATTTCCCTAAAATTCCTGACTGTCTAAACTTGGTTAGTCAAAATGACTGGTGCACACACAAATTTTGGTAGCTCATTGGTCATTCCCCATTATGAACCAGCAATTTAAGTACTTAAACAACTCTGGGCTCACACCATACCAGGCTACTTTAATTCATTCTTGATCTTTAAAATGGGAGGATGATGCCCCCTTCCTGGCTGTTTTGGCTACTAACATTATACGATGGGAGAGAGGGAGGCATAGATTGTCTATAGCTGTTTCTAAATTACCTGCTACTGTGGACTCCCAATCTTGCTTGAAGGCCATCAGTGTGGTCATACAACAAATACAAAATAATTCAACTGTCAGTAATATTGCTAGGCTGGCAGACATAATGTATATCTGAGGTGGTATATCACCACATATACAGAAAGCCACAGTGCAGCTATGTTTTCCCTATGCACCTAGAACTGTAGTCCAGAGACAACTCAAAATGCTGGATAAAGAGCTGGAAGTCTGTCCTGGTTTTGGCTGGAATAGAGTTAATTTTCTTCCTAGTAGCTGGCAGTGCTGTGTTTTGGATTTAATATGAGGATAATGTCGATAACACACTGATGTTTCAGTTGTTGCTAAGTAATGCTTATGCTAGTCAAGGACTTTTCAGCTTCTCATGCTCTGCCAGGTGCACAAGAAACTGGGAGGGGGCACAGCCAGAATAGTTGATCCAAACTCACCAAAGGGCTATTCCATACCATATGACGTCATGCTCAGTATATAAACTCGGGGGAGTTGGCTGGGGGGCAGCGATCGCTGCTTGGAAACTGTCTGGGTATCAGTTGGTGGGTGGTGAGCAATTGCATTGTGCATCACTTGCTTTGTATATTATTGTCATTATTATATGTTATTATTACTACTACTATTGTACTTTATTTTATTTCAATTATTAAACTGTTCTTATCTCAACCCAGGAGTGTTTCTCACTCTTACTCCTCCAATTCTCTCCCCCATCCCACTGGGGCAGGGGGAGTGAGTGAGCGGCTGCATGGTGCTTAGTTGCTGGCTGGGGCTAAACCACGACAAAGTCTTAGAGCTCGCAACCATCTCCATCTCTCCGACCATCTTGGTAAAAAAAACACCAAAATAAACAGAAAATGACTGCTAGGCTAACACACATATGCTAACAGATTTTTATTACTGTTTTTTAAAACTCATTTTCAGTGTTAAATAAACTGTGGAAAAAGGATTTGATTCATGGTTATGTTAGGAATCTACTCAACTAAAGCCCCTTGTCACAAATTAAATCATAAACCAAAAGTCAAACATGATTTGTGAAATTAACATTTATAGAGGAAATACTCCCCAGCGCTGCATTGTGATTAGTCTCTGGCATCTGAAATATCACCCATAATTCACAAGCTCCTCTGAAACCATGCCACTACCGTTACTGCTGAGATGGCACGCATGATGGAAAGGTGCTGCCACAACCAGAGAGCAATCCCTTTTTTGATGCTGGTAAGAACTAGAGGTCACTGTGTCTTATTATTTGGGAGAGTACATGCATACACACTTCTCAGCCCCCACATACTTGTAACACTTCGCCCCTGCACAAGCACTCTCTTCCACCTCTTCAATTTATCCAAGGCCATGGCTGTTTCTAATTTTGAACACGGAGGCTTGGCAGAAGCTCTGCACTGTGCCCTTTCTTTAAAATAGTGACTAATAAAAAATGAAATGTAATTAACAGTCATTGGCTCTTTCACAGAGTCAGTGTCTTTCACAGAGGGATTCAGTGCCTTTGCGGGTAGATGTGGACAGCTCAATCTTACAGGTAGAGGAGCTACAGCACAAAGACTTAGTGATTGTTAAAGGCTAAACGGTCACTGGTAAAGCACGCTTTGGAGCCCAGCATTTTTTAGAAGCCAGGATATCCAGATGTAGCTTAAAGATATGGGATGCTTCCCTTTTCAAGGTGATTTTCAGCACTGCCAAGGAATGCAGCAATTTTTTGGAAATCTTGGTGTAAGACCATCCCCACTGCTCTGAGCACTAGATATTTTTCACATGGAGCAAAATAGCCCCCAAGTCTTTCGGGGTAAAGAAGGAGAGCTCAGCTCAGCTGCTGGCTTCACAGGCATTCAGAGCAAGAAGAAAGCTTCAGCACCTCTGTAACCCATCCCCTCACTCCAAGTGATGATCATGGCCTTTCTTCTTCATGTATTTATACATTGCCTCTACTGCTCAAGTATACTACACCTACCTGGAACACATCAGCTGTATGCTGTGTTCATGCAAGTGTGCGTGTGTTTATGTGTGTGTATACCTAAGATTACACAACACACAAATAAACAAGGATCACAAAGAAGAATATTCCCTTTCTCTTAACCAAAAGAAAGCCTGGGGCCTCATCCTACCCCGCTCTAAACCAGAACAGAGAGGAATGTACTCTTACAAATGGTGCCTCTCTTCTCAGGATTAAGGGAGAACTTATTGGCTGTAAAGCCTTATTTCCTTTCTCTTGCACGCAGAGCAGGCTGCGTTAGATCTGGGCCTCTGTCCTCAGCTGGGGAAAACTGGGCTTAATGGAGTCATGACCATTTACGCCACTGAGGATAAAGCACTTGGCATGGAGCTCAGAGAACATCTGAGCCAGCCTCCACCCAGTGCCTGCACAAGCTCACTCTGGCAACTGCATTTCACCGTGGATGTCAGGCTCTGCCCCAAAGGAGGATGGGGAATCCAAAAGAAATTACTGCCTGCTCTACTAAGCTAACCCTTAGGCACAGAGGCCTCACTTCTTGGAATAGGAATTCATTGCTTCAGTAACAAGACTGGCTGAATAGTCCATGAGGGATTATTACCTCCATTCAACACACTTTCTTTGGGTAAACAGTCATTCCCTTCTTGTGTTGTGACATTAAGGAGAGGTCACCAATGGAAGGTGGTTTTTAAAAATAGTTTAATTTTTTTTTAACCACTCTCTTCTACTTGCAATAACCAGTTAAAAAGCTGAAAATAACACTGAGTTCCCTACTGGGTTGCCCTTTTCCATTTGGAGAACATTGATTTTTTTTCCTGTTGTGCCAAGATTAATGTGGCCTGTTTGACAACAGATTCAACATATCTAGTGCCCTGTCAAGCTAAAATGACTGTGTCTGTGGACAACATCCCTGTCTGGCACTGGCAATGATCTGGAAAAAAACAAGGCTTTCCTACTTAACTGTTACTGCAGAACTATCAGGAGATTTCAGCAGCCTTTAAAACCAAAAATTCTTATTGATGTGGCAAATTTAAAATATTTTTAGAGAGAGCTAAGTGTTTAAATGAAAACTATTAGGTAAGGGAAGTTATCCAAATTATCCACTGTAACTGTCTCTTACAGTTTTGATTCAAAATGGTTCCAATCTTACAGGTACAAACCTTCTTTCCCTGTTGCTGTTTGACAGAAAACATTGGTTTGTCCTCTCTCCTCCATTTTAAGAAGGAAAAGAAAGAGCATATAAGTAAAGTACAGAGAAGAAAACGAGAAAAGCCAAGAAAATAAGGAGTGTTCCTTCCTCATCCAAGTACCAGATATCACAGGGACACCAGCTGAGGGTGGAAACACACCCTGCCCCATTCTTTCAGAAATGTTACGAAGTTCCAAACCCCTCATCTCCCTCCCTTCCCTTTTCTCTGGCAAAAGCCAGTAATACCTACAAATATTTTTTATTTTCGTAAACATCATGCAGCTTTAAAACGTGGGGATGTTCTATCAACTTCAGGATGGCTATTTCCCGCTCCACCTGGAAGAAACAAAAAGAAATAGAGAAGATTAGAAGCTTGGTCTTAGAATACATTAGGTATCGTCACACATTTTCTTCCCATTTATCCATTTTCCACTGCTGTTTACATGCAGAGGATACGGCAACTTATAACAATGTATCATATTTAGCACTCATATAATTTAAGAAAAATTAAATGTATTCAGCCTCAGCACTCCCTGCCCTGCAGAAGAGAAAACCAGCACAATTTCAAGGTTGAAAGAAAAGTCCCAAATCTACCAAAGGGAATTAGCTGTAGGAGTTATACAAGCATTCAAGGCAGTTCCTGCCTCACAATCCAAAGCCAATGACATATTCTCGAAGTACAGAAACTCTAAGATGTCACTTAGGGCTCTCTGACCTCCCACAGGCACAGGTGTGGCCATGCTGCACTACGTATTGCATACCCAATTAATATAGGAAAATCCCCATCCTGAAAAATTTGCAGTGTATGCACGGGAGACAAAGAGCGGAAGACAGACAGCAATGTGATTTTATAGCTGCAGAACTGAGGCACAGAAAGGAAAAAAGTATAAGAAGTGACATAAGAAGCACAAGGCACAACAAGAAATTAAACCTGATTACTGGAGACGCCATGTTCAGAGCCTTAAGCATAATACTCTGCTTTCTCTCAATTCCCAATCTGTCCGAGCATGGCTACTTCTAAGAGCATGCCTTCAACACAGAGTTAACAAATTGTGACTAAGTCCCTGTAATTAGCGCAAGCCCTGTTCTCACCCAAAATTCCTATCATGACTGCTGTGGTGCTTTTAACTTGAATTTACTAAGGGTATTCATCAGAGATGGAGTCAGTGCAATTTCTCAGCTGCTAGCAAAATTGCTCTGTGCTGCTCAAAGCTACACTGCAACCGCTCTGATTTGACCTGGGCTAACTCAAAGGGAATTAATGTAGCACTGTGGAGACTGTAGATTACTGAAACAAACTCTGCAACTAGAAGCAGTCTAAGCATTACACAGTCGGGCATGACAAATTTCCAGGAATACACAAAGGCAGGAAAAAGACCTAAAGAAGCAAACAAGGACAGCTAGGTAGGGTTTTTTCGAGTCTATATAACTGGAATTCAGTCAATAATTCAGTCAATAACTGATTGTCCTGGAGCTCCTATGCTAACAAACAAAACATGAACAAACTACAAAACAATCCCTGAACATCTCCCCTGCAGGGATCAGACGAGTAATTAGGAACTTGCCCCAGTATACCTTTAGTTCTTGATGCCCTTTAACTTCCTGAGATATCATCCTCTACTAAGCCTGAACACAGACAACTTTCCCTGAATGTCAGTAAGATACTCAGCAGGAAATTTAGAAAGCGGTAGTCTTCCAGCACTGTGCAGAGGAGGAGGATTTCCCAGCATGTTGGTATCACCACACAAAACCAGCAAAAGCAACTCTCACACCACATTACCTTTGGCCTTCCTCACATATCAGGATGGAGGAAAAGGTGTTTGTACATGTGTCAGTTAGTCTTTCAAAGACACTTATTTCTCTCTGCAGAGTCAAAAGTCATGAGAGATCCACTTCCACACTTGGGATCTCTGGAAATAGCTCCTTCAGAGAAGTGAAGAAGAGAAAAGTGTATCAGGAAGCTCTAAAGGAATTAAGTGTTTACGTGTGCATGCATGTAAACATGTATGTGTGCAGTTCAGCACTGCCAGAACTGCTATGAATTCAGTGATACACAGTACTTGATGGTGACAGCTCTGTAGGCGCAACTTACTCATGACCAGTGCTTAGATGAAAGCCGCTTACACAAATAGGAAATAAAAGTTGGGTAGATTTCAACTTTACAGCTATTCCACCAAAAGAACAGTGGGAGAACTAGTTTATTCCATTTTTGTCTCCTCTTCAAAAAGACCTGTTACTCTTTACTCTTACAAGATATGCATTGATATTTGCAGAGCGCTTGTTCAGCCCTGTAATTCATAAAGTTGGATTTGCTTCAAGAATGAGGAAAACCAAACCACTCCCGTAACACTCTTCCAGTAGTACTGAGGTTCACCATCAGCACCATCTACCTACCACAGCTGCTCAGAAACTGGAACTCCAACAAAGTTCCCTTTGGATGGGGGAGACCAGGTATTTCATGGGGAATGTGACCATTGCACTAGCTATGGCAGAGATCATCCAACCCCATTCTCCCTCTTGGGAGACATCCTGCCTGTGAAAGATGAAATTCCCTGCAGATGGACTGTCTAACTGCATTGGAGATTCAATCTGAAAAACCTCTTGGCGGGTGCAGTGGCAATGTACGTTCAGACCAAGTGAGTGATGGATGGCAGCATCCAGTCAGGGTCCTGCTTGGTTACTGTCCTAAAGCATGAGAAGAGGCAGTGATCGGAGGAAAGGATTCAGTTACGGCACTGCATGGCCTATGTTTAACAAGAGAAAATCAGACTGGAGAGCAAATGTCTACTTACTACCTACAGATTTATACTAGGAACCAATTAAAAAGAAATAACCTGAGTTACCTAACTTTCATCATTTTAAGTGTGTAAGTGTGCAAGATTCTGTGCATATTTTTAACTTCCTGGGAGGAAACACAGTTTCAGAGGTCTTGATTTCAACCTCAGATATGCAGAAAGCATCTAGCTTGATGTGCCTGGCAGCATTTCACTACAATGTATTCAGTTCAGTGGTGCAAACCAAGGACAAAACTAATCTACTCATCTCAGTAAGACTTTGTATAATCCTTAGTGAAAAGGGCCTTTATGAAGGAAAAGTGTCATTACTGTACTTCTCATAGTCTAGGTCTTGGCCCCGTGTAGAGGAGCAAGTCATTAATGGTTGCATTACTTCAAGGACTAGAGATTCCCAGCTCTCTAAACAGCCATCTGATAAAGATCATCCTCAAAAATCTTACAGCAGTGTCCTGCCTCTTTTCCCTTCCAAAGAAAAACAACAGTTCACAAAAACATGCAGCAGACCACCTTCTCAAAATTACTACTGCAGACATTACTAATGGGTGACTCTCCTGGATTCTATTCATTTTTTATATCCCCACAGAGAAGCCAGTAACTGATACGGGTTGGACACAGACTGTAGATCTCAATAGTGATTTTACTGATGCATGGCTCAGGAGGACCTAGCAGCCACCATGTCATTCGCAAAGGAGAGGTATCTGAACTCACTGGCAAAATAAGAGAGGCCTGAAATAGCATGCAGCTTTGCCTTCTTCCCCAAAGCTTTGCCAGCCCTTGACATGCCTTTATTTCGCATCCCTGTGCTTGCAAGCCACAGAGTGCTGTCCAGCTCAGAGCTGGCAAGGAGAAGGTAATGGAGAAACCCTGCAGGGGTGTTTGCTTTAACGCAGATGCAATTATCAGAAAGCAGGCCAAGCTCAGAATAGCCTGTCTAGGTAGGCTCAGAGTCTGTGATAAACAGGAAATATGGAGAAACATTTGCATAACAGTTAAAAGAGAAAGGAAAAAAAAGTGAAGCTTTCCCTGTCACACAAATGCCAGGGCATGTCACAGGGTCCCAACTACAGCCTGGGTTGCCTCATACTATGGTAGGTTACTGACTGTGCAGCACTCCAGCACCTTGGAGCTGGGGAAAAGAGCTGTGAAAGGCTGTGCAGGGCAAACAGAGACACATCCCTAACTTGTAACCTTGCAGGTGCCAATTAGAGGTTTTAAAAATCTGTGCAGGAGGCTGAATTTGACAGGATGCTCCAGCGATTCAGCTAATGACAAAGTGCAGCACGGGGGCAACACAACCCTTAGAAGAAGAATGCAAACCTCTGGTCTCCTCTCCTCCGTCTCTACTTCACCCTCCTTCTCCCCCAGAGAAAATCACATCTCTCTGGTTTAAGCCCAGCTTGTCGGCACAGTCTTCACTGTGAGTGCTCTGCTCTCTTGCCTTCCAACTCACAGACACACGGGGTGCTAATTCACCCAGAAGGAGGGCAGGTCAAGGGAGCCTGGAGGTTTGTCTCAGTGATGAAAAAAGTTTCCTTTTCTCTTGTATGCATTTGCTCAATAACAATTGGGTCACCCATTACCCATGTGGTGCTGTGAGAACTTGAAAAATGAAGTGGACAGCTGTCGTGTATTACCAGGCTGTATTTTATCTACCAAATCTGTGCAAGCACTATGCAACCATCATTAATAGCAGTGTTTCTCAAAGAGCACCTATGCCCAAAAAGGTGGGGGACAGCAGATGATGCTTCTCCTCAGATGGTTTGAAGTTCACCAGCAGCACACCACAAAGCTCTCTCTTTCTCCATTGACATCAGTGGCTCCCATATTGCTCAAAACACTGGCCTGAGAAGGAAGTCTGGAGCTGCAGAAGTGGCAAGGGATAATAAAGCCCGCAGGCTGCAAATGTGTTGTGCTGTTTTTCCTACTCAGAACAAAATGGTGGAAGGAGGGTGGGGGTGGTAGGTTATCATGTGAAAATCAAGCTCTCTAATGTCAACTCTGCTTTGCTTTGAAGTAATTAATGACATACTTTTCAGAAGTCACGGCTGTCCCTCAGTTACTAGAAACTCAACCTGGACATGTCTGAGTTCAGAATTATTTAGACACAGGATGAACTTCAAAGTATGCTCATCTAAATCCTCAAGCTAGACCTCAGGCTGGAAACCTTATACCAAAGTGCCTACTTTCTCCAGTGTCTGGCCTGCTGTGCAGTAATTTGCACTTACACGATGAGAGCAAAGAAAACGCAAAGTAAATCACTGTGATACTTCACTGAGTTGAAGTAGCAAAACCAAAGGTATAGGATAGGAAGAAACTAATCTCAAGTTCTCTGGAACCCAAGTTCCTGCCATTACAGAAATATCCCAGAAACAGACCGTGGGATTTTATTAATTTGGTACTTTTGCTTCCATGTTATGTTGGACTGAAAATTAAAAATGGTGAAAAATGACTGGCTTTGATGAAGGCCATCTAGGTCACCTGTTCACTCCTTCCCATAATCACAGAATAAATAGGCTACTCTTGAGATCAGAAGAGAGCAGC